TCCCCAGGCCTCAGTGCCTCCCTCGTTGGAGGGGGGCACAGGTAATGACCACTGCTCTCTGCAGGAGGTTCTGTGAGGATAAACTAGGCTCATGCATGCATTTGATCTTGTTGACTTTCCCACTAACTCTGAAGGCCGGGATGTGTCTTACTCATTTATAGATCGCTAGGGCCAAGCATGGTGCCTGGAGAACTCAAATGGTTGTTGACTGAATGCATGAGCAGATGATGCAGTAGAATGTACAGGGCATGGGAAAGCCCAGGTAATACACAGTTCCTAAGAACTAGTTCAACCAAGAAAAGTCAGATTTCCACATGTGCCCCCCATATCTAATGACAATTAGGTACAAAGGGAATGGGCTAATGTTTGTGAGGAAACATTTAAACGTGAAATTAACCAAAGGGACACTGTCTTCTAACTTTCCTTTCTCATCAATTCTGGGCAGCACCTTTGCTGCTAGATACTTTTCCAGTGGAGTGGTGAGGTCTGATAGGCCCCTGCTTATAGGCCCATCTATTATTGAAACAGTTTAGAAAAAGGGTCCCTTTCCACTTGGAATTGCATTGTTTTCTATTTTGCTGTTCCTACATTTCAAAGGAGAACTGACTTTAAAGTCAGAGTATCCTAATTTTAGTCCTGGCCCCACCACCTGTCCACTTGACCTCAGTTTAGTCATTTAACCTCTCTGGGTCTCAGTTTCTTAATCTGTGAAATGGGGGGGGGTGCTGGCCATAAGCAGGCATACATGCACCTTGCAGGCCTCCCCTGGCAGGGGTGTAATTGGCCAAGAGCACCAGCTGCTGCTCTGAAGTCCACTGTGGGCTTGCTCCGTGGAGACATATCCCATGGGCTACTCTCAGCCAGTGACTGAGTGTGACAGGGACCCTGAGACAGGCATCTTCTTGGGGACACAGGACTCCTCAGAGGGCTGACTTTGGCTCAAGAAGTCCTTGACCAGCCATGCTGACCCCTCCTTAGGCTGTGGGCCATCTAGGATGCTCACCATCCATCCTTTCTCCTTTACCCGGGGTCAGACTCACAGTGTGTCTGATGGCCGTGCTAATCCTCCTGACTCCCTCCCACTTCCTCTCACACATGTGTTTTCCCTAATAAAATTCATGCACATTTAAGCCCCTATTGGCATCTGCTGCTGGGAAGACCTGGACTCATACAGGATGATAATAGCTCATGGTGACGATCAAATGCAGCAATGTAAGGAAAATGTTTAGGGTGAGGACACAAAGTAAATGCCAGAACTTCCCATTATCACCACCGTGCCCCTGCCACCCCCGTCATCTGGCTGATTTGCTTCTTTGCTGGCTCCATGCGCAGAGAGCTCCAGAGGCACATCCCAGGTCACAAAGCAACTTTGTAGTAGGGTGAGAGCTGCTGTGGCTGCCAAGGAATAGAAATGGATTCATGAAAACCCCCTTTGAAAGACTTCTCCAACCTAAGGAAAAGGCACAAACCAAAATCTTTCCCCAGCCCTCAAAATGTGCAGTCATCTTTCATAACTCCAACTCCATTTTTAGTCAAATGCACAAAGGTTTTGTGACCTTCTGAGATCTCTGCCAGGATTCCTGATGTAGACTCCAATCTGTAAACCAGGACCCTCATTTGCAGTTCCTTGAGAGCCCTGTGGGGGTTAAAAAAAAAAGGCTGTTATATTCACAGTCTGTAGATAAAGAAACAGAAACCAAGTGGCAGTTTCAAGGTCAGCTAGACACTAATGGGTTGGGGACTGAAGTTCTGGTTTTTGCTCCTGGTGCTTTGGAAACTCAGGGATTGGTGGACTTGTTCAAACTCTGCTCCAGGACAGTCTTTTAGCAAACTGGAACCAGTAAATGGCCTGGAAAGACCTTTCTCAAGCCCAGTTTTGCTGAGCCTCAAGGATACCAGGGGTCCTGGAACCATCCCTGATGCAGGTCAGTGAAGGAGACCCACCTGCAGCTGGCCTCCCTGCTCAAGGCAGCGTGTGTCACCCAGCGGGGCTGCATCCTGATGTGTGTTACCCGACTCTGTGCCGTGTGTTCCTAAGCAGACCGCCAGCCCCCAAAGCTGGGAGGGACTGTGACTTATCCTCACTGCAGCACAGCCCCTCATGCTCATTTGGTGCTAAATAAATGCTCATTACTGAGGGTGATGGTGATTCTGACAGGGCGTTTGTTAATGGACTGAAGGAAGGATTGACAACAGCCACAAGAGTAAACAAAATGTTTCTCTGTGCCAGGCTCTGGGTCCAGAGGTGGAGGCCCAGGGATGAATGACAAGCTTTCAGGCGCCAGGGAATTTACAGGCTCGTGGATAGACGGCATGCGGAGTCTGCCTGGAGAGTCCAGGACGACTGCACAGAGGAGGCAGCGTCGAGCTAAGGCTGCAGAGGGTGGGAGTTCCCAGGCAGATGAGGGTAGGGAAGGGGCTGCTGGTGGAAGGAACATTGCGACGGTGTGGAACATCAAGCTGTTTTCCACCTAACGCCACTCATCCCCAGTGTGCTTGCGGATAGGACGTGTCAGCATTTCCTCCTTCCTTCTGTTCTCCATCCATTTCGTCCACCCACTGTATGCCAGGCACTGTGCAAGACACTGGGGTACAGAGGCGAGGGACAGACGTGCTGCCTGCCCTCCTGGAACTCTAAGCTGGGGGCAAGTAAATAGGTTCTTTGAATAGCACCGGTGCACCGGGCCAAGGGAGACTGAATCTAGTTGGGGGGGGGAGGTGTATTAGCTTCCTGCTGCCCTAACGATTTGCCACAAACTTAGTGGTTTAAAATGACACAAATTTACTATCTTACAGTTCTGGAGGCCAGAAGTTCAAAATCTGTCTTACTGGCCTGAAATTAAAGTGTGGGCACGGCTGTATCCTTCTGGAAGGACTAGGAAAATCTGTTCCTTGTCCTTTTCAGCTTCTAGGAGCTGACTGCATCCCTTGCCTGGTGGCTCCATCACTCTCAACTCTGCTTCTGCCCTTACATCTCTTTCTCTCTCTGATCCTCACACCTCCTTCTTACAAGGACCTTGGTGATTACATTGGGCCTACCCTGTATAATCCAGGATAATCTCCCTATTGCCAGATCCTTAGCTTAATCACATCTGCAAAGTTCCTTTTGCCATATAAGGCAATGTATGAATAAGTCCCAGAGGCTAGGATGTGGACATCTTTGGGGGTCTTAATTCTGTCAGTCACAAGGGGAGCAGGGGAGGAAAGAGAGGGTACTTCTGGAAGTGGTATTTAACCCCAGATTTAAGGGTCAGAGGTGGGCGAACATGGGGGCAGGGAGGCCATTTAGGAGGCTGCTGGACTGGTCCAGGTAAGACATGATGGTGGCTTGGATGAGGTAGGTGGCCACAGGGATGGTGAGAAGCACACGGACTGATACGTTATGAGGCAGTCAAATGAATGGGAAATGAGCGCAAGGGTGAAAGATAGCTGCCCTGGGCAAGGCTTACCATCTCAGTGCCCGCCAGGGCAAGGAGGAACCTGAAAGTGGTGTCTTTAAGGAAGGTTTAGTGAGAACACAATGTCCTGGAGGCTGATTCTAAATCTTAAACCTTTCAATCAGAGATTCCAGAGAATTTCATGTTCAACAAGTTAGAGGGAAATGTAACATTTTATGTTTTTCATCTGGAAGAATAATATTCAACAGAAGGCTGCTGTTCAGCTTGGTTTCCAAAGAGAAAAGCTGATTTTGAGGCTGTAGGAGGAAAGGCAGATATTTACAAGCATAGATTCCTCAAGGTGGCCAACCCTTCCGCCAAGTGTCATCATGGTCCCAGGCATTTTGAACAAGGAGTGATATTCCTACGCTTTTATTTACCTTGGTTTCCTAGGCAGAGAGTGAGCCATTTAGCTCATGGGTGGGATTGCTTGCCCCACTTAGGTAATTAGGTTTGTCATCTCCTAATACCTTATTTACACAACAGCCGGGCTGCACCATGACAGAGGCCAAAAGCATTAGTATAATAAAGGCAGAACAAAATCGAAGTGAAATAGCCGTTCACTGCCTCACAAGACAGATTTCTCAAATACGTGATAGCATTACGTGTACCACACAACCCCAAACTTCCTGCCTTTCCAGAGACACCACCAGCTTAACATATTTATTTCCAAGGTAATGAAATTGCCCTTACAGAGACCAGAGGCCTTTGAGAATTCTACGTGTCCTGAAAACCAGGGAAAATTTCCTTTCCCCTGGCTGCTTATTGGAGTAAATTAGAAGAAAAATTCTACTACTGATATATCAGGAATGATTACATCTAAGTCATCACATTTTCTCTTAAAAAATACATTTAGGATCTATTCTTTCATTCTCATTTTTTCCAGAAACCAAGTTAATTGGCATGTAATGTTGCCCATTGTTCCTTCTCTCCTCTACCGCCACCTTTCATTTTTTCATGTTTAGTAATCTTTGGAAACCCAAACTTTATTTACTGTTCCTAATATTTGACTCCTCTCTCTTCTAGCGAGCTCACTTAGTTTTTTGGTGACCACAGTCCTGGATAAAAAGGACTTTTAAACTTGCTAGATGCTCATCTCTGCTCTTGGTATCAGTCAGTCCTTGGACACAGTAGCTGGGTATCCGTCTCTAATTCTTTCCTCCACAAGTTGAGTGATATAGCTGTTTTTCAAATATGGTAGTTTGTTGTGCCGTGTATCTTACACATTGTTTAAACAAGGAAGGTAAGGGAGGAGGTGAATGACAAATCACCGATAAATGGCTTTCAACTTTGGACTCTGGTAGAGAAACATAAGCATTTCAAACTCAGTTCCTAACTTTTTTTTTTTTTTTAAGCTAGAGCTCCTGGTGCTCATTTTTTTTAGAACTCAAACGGATACCTAGCAACTGATCAAGTCCCCTAACTGCAGGCACGGTGAAACAATTTTTAATCCTTACATTTGAAAGCTGTCTTGAGAAAGACATCTGTGCGTTGTTTCTGACAGTTTTGTGTTTCATACTGATAAACAAACTCTATCCTCCTCTCGCCCACCCCATTTCTCAGTGGCCATTCCGGCAGCCGCGCCCCCCGTGTGTCAGCCCAAGGGTGCCACTAACGGCCACGCCCCGGCCCCACGCCTCTCCATCTCCTCCCGGGCCACGGTGGTAGCCAGGATGGAAGGCACCTCCCAGGGGGGCCTGCAGACCGTCATGAAGTGGAAGACAGTGGTGGCCATCTTCGTGGTCGTGGTGGTCTACCTCGTCACGGGCGGTCTCGTCTTCCGGGCGTTGGAGCAGCCCTTCGAGAGCAGCCAGAAGAACACCATCGCCTTGGAGAAGGCGGAATTCCTGCGGGATCACGTCTGCGTGAGCCTCCAGGAGCTGGAGACCTTGATCCAGGTGAGCAGGCAGTGGGCCGGCCGCAGAGCAAGCGGTGGGGAGAGAGCACCGCGTCGGTTCTGTCTTTCCGGCTCACTAAGTTTTGCCTTTGCCTGAGATGCCCCTGACGGTCAGGTAAGTCCTCTCCCGCAATGGGACGTTTGAGCAGAGACCTCAGAGAAGCCGGAGAGTGAGGCATGTGACCATGCCGGGAAGAGGGGCTGCACCTGTACCCCCGACCTGGGCGCAGGCTGTGTTCTGCATCTCCTGCTCATGCAGCACCTGGCAGAGAGGGCTTTGCATTTTCAAATTCAAGTCCACCCAAATATGCTGATTGACTTCCTGAGTCTGAAGTCTGCGTGAGATGCAGTGTTAAGAGGTGCCCTAGGAGCCAAGGAACGATAGACTTTTAAACAAGCAGGGATGGATTCGGCTGTCCAAGGTCAATGAGAATGGAGTAGAGAAAAGGCCACTAGATGTGGAATGGGGAGACTGTTGGTGATGTGGGAGGGTCGTTTTGGTGGATTTGTGGGGATGAAATAATAAGGAGAGCAGTTAAGAGTGGTAATTAGGGTTGCTGTTTTCAACACTAATTGTGTGCTGTGTGGGCACTTTGCTACAGCCCTTACATACCTTGGATGTTAAGGAAAAAACATCCATAAATCATGGAAGCTAAGAACTTTGGCTGCCACTGAGAGAAGCAAAGCAGTGGAAGCTGGGTGGTGGCAGCCTTGGCAGGGGTGAACTGTGGCTGGGAAGGCCGTGGGAGGCAGAGCCACCTCAGGCGGTGTGATAGGGGGCATGAGACAGGAGGCTTGAAAAGTCTGGGAAACGCAGAGAGAGCTGAGTCCCAGCAGGAGGAAAGGGGAATGGTTGGGAATCCAACTGGAGGGCCTTTCCCTCATCGGTGACGGGGCACGGCTGCCTCTGAGGATGGAGTTTGATTTCCTATCCTGCACACCTGCACACCCTCCCAAACTACCAAGGGTAGGTCATGGTGGAAGGCGGTGACATTTACGGAGGCGAGGGAGAGCCTCATCTCTTTGGGGTTCTAAAGTTTAGAAGGCAGGGAGATGGAAAGGACGGCTCCCTCAATTCCTTCTGGCTGTAGCATTATCTGCATTAAATTCTAATGATTACTACAACCAGGATTTCTCAGGATTTGCAATTCTGGGCTGGCTATGTGCTTATTTCAAACTACACTGATAAGGTAGTGGACTCCTGAGGTTCTGATGTGGAAGCGTCAATAACAATTGTACTCTTTTAAATTAGTTTTGATAATCTGACTTGACTCTTAAAGAAATAGAAACATGTATTTTTTTCTTGAGAATACATATGATTTCATACCCACACCATACAATTCTTATTAAAAACTAAAACTTTAAGATGCAAAAACAAAAGGGCCATGTTTCATATCACTTTTTTGTATGGCCTTGTCTTTTCTTTTTTCTTTCTCTTTTCATGAGAAAGTGCTACCAAATTTGTGATGATGAGAGAGTTGTACTAATTCATGGCAGATTTAAGGCCTAGAATGCCATAGAGAATGGTGGCAACAATTCTGGAGTAATTTTAAATAAGAATGGAATTGCATTTACACATGTTGCTGTGTTATGTGGTGAGATCTGTTATATTTAGTTGCAATACATATAATAGAAGAGGTGGTCCGAACTGAATTTAAATTCATGCTTGAATTTTTCCCTCTGTATAGAGTGAGGTCTTGAGGAAAGTGATCATGTCTTATTATCTTTGCATCCATGTATAACCTATGCATTTCTTTGCTCCTAATTATTTCCCAATATAGAAATGCTTTTGGAATGAGATATCAAAGTAAATCTGTAGCACTGGGGATGCCACCAGATATGTGAGCTTGTTTATTCATTCAGCATTTCCATATTGCCCATTCCTTGGCCTTCTTCTTTATTAAACAGCTCAGAGGTCAGAATGAACAGGATGGAGGAGTGTAGAGATTCTAATTCTGGTGCTGCCATTAAGATGCATGTTCTGTTTAGACCTCAAAAGTCTCTGTGAAATGAGTTTGTGTGTGTGTGTGTGTGGGCACATGTGTGCCTTAGGATCATTTTTATAACAATTAAGAAACCTACCTTTATTAGGCATCTGTTATGAACTAGGCCCTTTATAAATCTCATTTAATCTCTCCAGCAACCCTCTAAGTTGGTATCATTATGCCCATTTTATAGGTAAGGAAACTGATACTAAAGGAGGTGAAGAGCTTTCCAGCCACCAAGGTGGCAGAGCCAGGATTCAAAGTCAGGTCTGTCTGACTCCACCTGGCTCGCCCTATGAGTCTACAAGACCTTTAAGTAGTCTTGCTTTATTATAAATGTAACTTTCTCTTAGTCATTTGCTTTGTGTTTAATGCTTTCCAGAATTTTCGTAGAGTCAAAAACACTGGAATTCTTGGCAATGTTTTAGCAGAAAGCACTTCCCTATTTCTTCTCCCTGCACCCACTGAGTATCAGTCCTGAACCTGGGATACTTTCAGGTCTCCATCTACTGTGATGTCAGGATTTATCCTCGGGTTTATCTGTACTCTTTCTCACAGTATAGGTTAATCAGGTAGATGTGCTGAATCTGTGTCAACCCAGAACCAAATCGTATGGTTTGCCCTTCATTGATTCCTTCATAGGATGAAAATGCCCACACCTATGAACCAGAGAAGCATTCCCTCAACTTTATGCCTCTGAGCAGTACTCTATGTAGTGCTCATAAGAAACACAGTTTTGGGGAGGGTTTTCAGTGTGGTGTGTCCAAAGCTGGAAAAATAGTATTATCATATAAAGTTTGAAAGGAGTGGTAAAAAAACTTAGATCAAAGGTGTTTATCTGGTAATGTCAGGACTCTTGGCTGAACTGAGTGAAACTCTTATAAAGCAAAGCTGGAAGATGTAATTCCTGCTATTAATAACACAAACAAAGTACCCTGAACAGCATAAGCCCTGTGAATTCCTGGATCGCTTAAAACAGCCATAGCTGGGAAGGGATTTTCCAAAGAATTAAACCACTGTATGGCATACCATGAGACTCTGGGGTAGACCGATGGGCCACTGTGCCTGGCCAGATTGCTGTTATGGATGAGACTGTCTCAGCCATTAACTCATCTTTAAATTGTTGTTGAGCTCCTGTTATATCAGGTAACATGCTAGGTGTTGGGGCTGGGAAAAATGAGAATAAAATACACCTTGACAAAGTTACTAATCTCTCTGTGATCCAGTTTCATTTTTTATAAAATGTGCCTAAAATCTCATCCTTTGGTGTTGAGAGGATTAGATTCTATAATTCATGAAAAGGGCTTTGAACCATGCTTGGTGCAAATTAAGTGCTCAAAAAAGGATAGATTATTGCTGCTTCCAGGACCTCAAGAGTTTTAAGCAATGTCTCTTAAAGGGGAGGGCATTTCCCTTCAGGGGTCATCTGGCAATATCTTGGGATATTTTTGGGTGTCACAACTGTGGAGGTGTCATAGGCATCTACTGAGTGAGGCCAGGGATGCTGCTGAATATCTCACAGTGCCCGGCAAAGGCCCTCTTCACAAAGAATCATCTAGTCTAACATGTCAGCAAGTTGAGAAACCCTGGAGGAAGGGGAGTGTAAACCAGTAATTAAAATTCACTGGAATTTGATTGTTTTTCCTAGATCTATTGAGGTATAATTGACATAACATCATTGTGTGAGTTTAAGGTATACGGCATAACGGTTTAACATGTATTGTGAAATGTTTACTGCAATAAGTTTAGTTAGCATCCATCATCTCAGATAGATACCATAAAGAGAAAAAGAAAAAAAAGAAAAACAACAGTTGTTTTCCTTGTGAGAACTCTTCGGATTTATTGTCATAATAACTTTCCTATATATCATACAGCAGTGTCAACTGTAGTCATCACGTTGTACCTTATATCCCTGGTATTATTTATCTGATAACTGGAAGTTTGTACCTTTTAATCACCTTCCTCCAACTCCCCCTTTCTCAACCCCCACCTCTGACCTTTTCCTATGAGTTTGTTTTTTTCTTAGATTCCATATACAAGTGAGATCATACAGTATTTGTCTTTCTCTGACTTTTTCACTTAGGATATTGGCCTCAAGATTCATATAGGTTCTTGCAAATGGCAGGATTTTCTCATTTTTTACAGTTGAATACATTCTATTATATATATGTTCCCAACTTTATTTATTCATCTATTGATGGACACTCAGGTTGTTTCTGTGTCTTGGCTATAGTAAATAGTGCTGCTATGAGCCTGGAGGCACATACATTTTTTGAAGTTTGTTTTTATTTCTTTTGGCTTTATTTCCAGAATTAGGATTGCTCGTTCATATGGTAGTAGTATTTTTAATATTTCTGAGGATCCTCCATCCTGTTTCCCATACTGGCTGTACCAAGTTACATTCCCACCAACAGTGCATAGAGGTCCCTTTTCTTCATTTCCTCTCAGCGTATGTTAACTCTTGCTTTTTGATGATGGTTGGAAGGGAGCTATTTGAAGTATGTGAAAAATGAGAGCCCCAGTGAGGCAAACAGAGGTCAGGGAAGAATCTGTGGCTGGATTTGGGAGCTGGATTAGTACCTACAATGAGTCTATGAGGATAGTCTTTGGTGCCCATTTATAGATGAGAAAATTGAGGCAGCTGGAGGTGAATTTATATGCCCACTGTCACCTGGTTAATAAATGGAATCTCTAGGATTTAGTCCTGGACAATCTACCTACATATCCCAGGCTCTCAACCACCATGCATTTGAACAGAAACGTGGGATATAGGAGGTTGATTCTGCATGCTGTGGCGATGGGCAACCTGATAGCTCGTGCTGTCTGTGGAGGGAGCAGGTGGTCAGTGTGGCTTGAGCTGAGAGGTAGGGGGTAGGTGGCATCAGATGAGCCTGGGGAGGGGGAATATGGCTGGATTTGGAGTTGCCCAGGGGACCTTGCTGAGGAATTTGGGCCTTATGCCATGGAAAGTGGGGAGTCACTGAAAGATTTAAGTAAGGCAATGACATGATGGAAA